GCTAACAAACTCGAGTTTCGTTTAAATCATTTTCAACCTATAATTTATGGCACGTCTTCGTGGACTTCTTAACATCGAGACGGCGACCATGCAGACATAACTTACGGCGGGTTGCCGATTTTTTTTTTTTTTTATTTTTTCAATCCCGCTACTTAGTCGGCCGCAAGAAAACACTGCTGCACGTTCTGCATCATTAGCTACGCTGCGCTTCGAAGTGCGTCGTGATGCTTATAGTGACGTGCTGAAGAAAAGCGCATCGCGTCGAAGATCGTCACGATTTGCGGGGGAATCATCGCGTTACAACGTTGGACTCGTTTTGAGTTGCATATGTTGTAGTTTTTGTTTTGCAACTTTACGGTACGTACATGTCTAATCGAGTTTCTAATGTTTCTCGTAGTAGAAACACATACATATATGCGAAATATCTGTTACAAAACAACAGTTTGTGCACGATGTGCACATATATTAAACGACTAAAAATACAATTAATTATATTTTTATCAAGTACACATTTTGTGGATTTTTTTCACTTGCTTTGTCTTTATCTTTAATTCCTTTAATCCTTTTACTTATAATTCATTTTGCGCTCGATTTATTCGCACCGATAGTGGTCAAAAGAAATTAATTGCAGAATAAATAAATCCACTTATTTCTCTACCGTCTCATAAATCGATTTTGTGTCGATTTATTCGAGAATTTGTCTCAGTGAAATGCCGCACGGTGATAAAGCGGACTACATAAATTCACATTGCGTTTGACAAAGAAACCACGAATGACTGTCGAATTTGTTCTACCGATCAACTTTTTGCCGGACGCATATGCGTGTCGCCAGATTCGCGGCATGCAATGAAGCGCAGCAATCACCTCCTCCGCGAGTAAATTATATCGGGGGGGTCTCCTTGTGGCGCGGTAGCCGGTAGGAGATTAATTTCAACGTGCGTGCGCGTATTTTTCCCCGCGAGTGGTTTGCAAAAAGCCGACAGTCGTATGTATTACGATGGGTAATAGCGGGCATGCACACGAGAGACGGATAGATAGATTCCCCCTTTTGCCGTGATCTACAACGAAGCAAATCGCCGTCGCGCATCGCAGGACGAGCGGAATACACATCCCCGAGGCTTTCCGCGCGTCCTTAACAACCGAGTGACCGAGACACGTGGATATATGTATGATCATCTCCTCTTTCTGCACGCTCTATATATTCTCTTTCGTATATATACTCTTGGTGCGCGAGAGTAAGAACCCGCGTTGAATCTTCACCGCGCGCGATCGCACGCTTCCACTCTTATTCCCATCCTGTCACGACCAGTCGCATCATTAGGCCATCCGGTATTACAAATGACGTTGAAGGGACTCCCCAGACTTCTCCACCTCTTCTTTGTACTCTCGCCCTTTCCCCCGTGTTGTTTTGTCTCTCTCTCTCTCTCTCTCTTTCTCTCTCTATTTCTTTTTATTGTTCGCTCGTTCTTTCTCGCTCCTCGCCGAGAAACGCGGTGAAGACGCGGCGAGAGTCCTGCGAGTCCTTGCTTACACACCGCGTATCCAGTTGGTTGCCGAGTCAATCCGGCGAAACGGTGTTTTAACTGGATCGTACAAACGCCACGGCAAAAACCAGCAAGCAAGTCATAAGCATTTATGAGTTTCTTACCGGCTATAATAAGTTTGGAACGATTGCTGTTTGTATCATTGCGCGAAGTGTACTGCGCTCGTTCTTCTTCTTCTTCTTCTTCTTTCCGGTGACATTCTTCGAGCGACCGTCGAGTGCCGGCGTGAGTATATAAACCGAGACAAACCCTGGTGCTGTATTTCCGTGCCTTATTTTCACCTTCTTTTTCAGTCGTTATACGGTATTAACAGACCGACCTTGTTTTATGACAGTCATTAAAGAAAGTCGACTTTTGACCCCAATTAACCTCAACTTGATGCACGTTAGTTATACGGCTCTCTACTACTGATTGTGAGACATGTAAAATATCTATATTTATTCTTTTAATGATTGTTTGGTAGTAGTTTATTTTGGTAAATTACAGGTAATTGTTAATTAAAAAAATAAGAAACATGCGTGAAAATATTTTCTACATCTGCTAAGTTCTTTCCCATTTTCTCTTTCATGCGACATGTATGTGGCAGATATAATCTTTGTGTATATTTTCTTGTAATCTCTGGAAAAAGATTCTGGAGAAGTAACAGCCAACGCCGGGATGATTTAAATGTAGTCTACTTGTGTGCGTGTTTCGATAGATAATCGATATTGTTCAGCAAATAGCTCACGCTTCATGGTAGTCAAGATAAAAGGAACAAAACAAGAAACTCGAGAATGAAGAGAGACAAGCGTGAGAGAATTCGCGACAGAAAGATAGAAGAGAAAGGAACGGCGACAAATGGAGCGGACACGAGCGGGACGAGCGAAAAGAAGGGTCAAGTTATGTGTAAAGATAAGACGAAATAAAGTTGCCGGTATAAGGGCAGAAAGCCAGCGTGAAACGAAATGGAAAAGAAGAAAAAGATTTTATTCGGAGATACGACTTTTTTAAAGGATAACAACTTGGTCAATAAAATCAACAGCTAATAAACGGACATCACGATATATATTTTGATATCATTGTAAAGTTTAAACAGCATCGCGAGTTTGACAAAAAAAAAATCCACATAAAACCTAGAAACATTATCTCGTAAACATGACGTTATTATATTTTTTGTATGAATATATGAATGTTTAAACGTAAAAACGGTTATTTAAAAAAATCTTTTCTATACAATATAGTTCTCTACACAAATTTGTAGAAGTTTTTTTTACATCAAACTTTGTGATTCAAAAACGAAAAGCCACAAGAACTTTAATTAGTATCGTATAATGAGCGTGGAAAATACTCGGAGTAGCATACAGAAGCGGCAAAATGGAAATGCAAAACGAAGACAAGATCGAAGGACGAAGAAGACGCGAAAAGAGAGAATCACATGAAACGCGACGCGATTCACAAGGTTGCGACAAGACGAACGTAAACTCAACGAACGTTGTCAGGACGAGAAGCACAACCGACAGCCGACCAACCGATCGACTGATCAACCAACCAACCAACCAACCAACCAACCAACCAACCACCCAACCAACCAACCAACAACCAACCAACCAATCAACCAACCAGAGAGAGTGCGATGAAGCTAAGCTAAGAGGCAAGTCAAAGCAAGTTGAGAAAAGCTAGGTCGAGGCAAAGCAAGGTAAAGGTGAGTAGGGACGGGATAAGGCAAGGCGCATTGGTGAGGCATGCTAAGGCAACGGGTCCAAAGTCGTCGTCGTGCCTCGGTGGCGCGTTAACCTCCCGTTCGAACGCAGTATGCTCTCGACTCTCGCGCAGGCTAGGTTGCACCAATGCCGTCGGTCGCTCCGCCGACCACGTGCTGCAATCCCGCCGACAAACAAGAGAATCCGCGAGAGAAAAGCTCGAGATTCAATCGCGCGCGCACGTGCTTCTCACGTATCGAACTACCGCAATTTCGCCGCCGGCATTGAAAGAGACAATAAAAATAACATTGATTTTTTTTTTTCCAAGAAGATTTTACAGTGTCTTCTCATCTGATATTTTATAGTGATTTTTTCAAACATGTGTCATATCATTTATGTGTCATAAATTAATTGATTCGATTATAATCACTCCTCTCGATGTTTGCCGAAAGCAAGTAGAGTACGCGTACTAGTGCAAGTCAAGATAACACAGCAAATGTGTAGTTTACATATGTCTCACCGCTATGAGAATTCAATGTTTACGCACGCGAAAAGAGGAAATTACTCGACCAGAAAAGTGCCAACTAAAACTAACATCGTAAATTAAATTGCGGAAAAGATTCCGATCGCGCGCTCCCTCTTTCTTCCTGTCTCTCTCTCCTTCTATCCGGATTCTGCGACTGCGAGTAATTTCACGCCACAAACATACCGTAACGTTAGCAATGAATTTAATTTCAAAGAATTGTTTTACGTCTGCAAAATCAAATCTAACTGCACGCGAGAGATAATTAAAAGAACGCGCTGTCATTCCTAATCGAGTGTGTTCCACTTTTTTGATCGTGTGCGTTAAAACCTGATGTGTCAGAGCAAAAATAAATTTCAAACGGTCACGTAATTGTGCGACGCGCGAAAACTTCGCTTTTTAACCGCGACAGAAATGTGATGCGTCGCGGTGCGGTGCGACAACCTTCGAGGGGATAGGAATTTAAAAAATCTTCACGCTCCAAAGAGCAGTGGTGAAAAAAAAAAATGAAGAATCGCGATCAGAAAAACCGCAAAAATCCATCGACCAGAACGAGTTGAGTAATTGAATTATCCGAAGTCCGAAGTTCTCGAAAGACGCAGAATTCTGTGAGACAACCATACATGGTCGTCGTGCAGTGTCTGCCTACGAAGCCTACGAGGAAGAAGCGGGAGTCGTTGTCGCGTGGGAGGTCGAGGTATCGTGCACGGCGCTTTTTATGCGAAGCGAAGCAAAGACGGATTCGTGCGCTTGCTCCGGAACCCACACGCGGACACAGAGCGGCTGCTTAAACCGTCTTGCTCTCTCTCTCTCTCTTTTGTTACTTGAACGCGAGTATGATTTTATGTACGCGGATCTTCCAGGAATGACGAGAACATCACCGATCTCTTTCTTTGACGCGTCAGAGAGAAACGCGCGTATCGACAATCCGCGATCGATCCGAAAGAGATCGCTGAGAGAAACGAGATAGAGGAACCTGATTCGGAGCAAGTTTGTGACCGTCCAAGTAGCGTCAACAACTCGAATAATTACAACTAGTTCGTTAGCGAACCGTAACTAAATCTCTCCACGTGAGTCGAATCGCGTAGTGAGACAAACAAGATCGGAAACGTACTTGACAAGTGAAGAAACTCGCGCACAAAAGAAGGAAAGGAAAAGAAAATACTACTCGTGATATGGAAAATTATGGACGGAGCGAGTTGTTCGTCAACTATTTGGAAAACGCACGGGAAAAATGTTCGCGCTTTAGCGAGAAAATTCCGCGCGAAAATGAATCATGTGAGACTCATCGCATTTATCTGTGATAATTTGAAATACAATCGTGACCGGAGTGCATTATATTGGCGAACTTCGAATTTGCAGAGAAGTCACGCGGAATAAACTGCACGTACGCGCAACGCTGTTTTCGTTGCGTTCGTGACAAACGCGCGCAATGAACGAGAGGTTGAGCCACGGGTAAGAATAATAGTACTAATAATAATAATAATAATAGAAAAGTAATAATAATAGAAAAGAAAAGCATGCCGGTCGCGGGGACGAGAAGATTGTATCGAGTTGGACTTGTCGCGATCTTGGCCACCGCGCTGTGTGTTCTAACTCTGCTGGATTCGCCGCCGGCGCGACTCCCGGATCCGCCGATCGACCTTCCTCCTACGCCTGGTAAGCAATTTTCCTCGTCCGGCACCTTCGCGCGAGAGTCGCGACCCTTGCCCTTTCGTTATCGGTGAACGGTCCTCCGCGTCCTGCCGCAACCCGAAGGCGGTAACACAACACTGTGCGCATCGGCGCATCTAGCGAGATTGTTGCCGCCGAGCGAATCGATTGCGAGAGTATATATAAATAAAATTCGGAATCAAATAGCGATTTTTTATTCCGCGCAATGATATTTCGCTAATGCTGCTTTCGCAGCGCTCTTTTGATTTTAATATAATTTTATTGACGAAATATCATTCACACTAACGTAAAACTGTTCTCATCGGCTCGCGGATAGAAGAGAGCAGACTTCGAGAAAGTAAGAGTGGCAATTGTACTAACAACTTGCAGCTTAATTGACTGTAAATCCAAGTACTTTTTCTCGACACGATCAAACAAAAGCAAAGATCTGAGCTCAATCGACTCGCACAAGACCGGCGAACAATTCGTTAGTCGGTGCGCGCGTTATTTTCTAGTCGCACACACGTAATAGAGTTTTTACCTGACCGACAAACCGAGCGGGTAGAGCAAAGAAGCGCTTTTTTTTAAAAAGCACATTCATCTTAACATAATTGCACAAGTTGTTACTCTTTCTTATGCTAACAAAGAATATGACTACGTAAATGACTCGCACCGAAGACCGATACCGATCAACCCGCGCTACGCATCGTAGACACTCATGGCGCTCTTACACGCCATGAGCGGTACGCACTTCCTAAGAGAAGCTAAAAAGATACGAAGATAACGCGCGGAGGTGCGTGCGTGGTCGCGCGCACGCAAAAGCAACACGATACGGAGTTATAAATAAACTCCCGAAGCTTTGGCATAAAGCTCGCCAAGGACGTAAATCTCGTGCTGTTCTTTGGTAGTAGCGACTTCATTAGTCGACGTAATTTATGATGTGATTCATCGAGTGACCGCCCGTCGACTCGTACGCTTTCGCGTATTTCACCTTCGTCTCCGCCGTACAAACATTTCGCGGGAATTATGACAACCAATCGTACGGCGCGAATCCGAGACTACGAGCCATGTATCCTTGTACCAGCCCGAACAAGCTTTTGAAATTTGTTTGTCTCGTACTTGAGTCCACCTTTCACGTTATCACGGACTCGGAATCAAACGGTCATATTTCATTGCTAAATATAAATTGCAAATACGTAAAGTTTTTATTTAACGTGTTTATACACGACCGGTGACCATCCTTATCTTATACATGTATAAAATAACAATATTGGACTAATAATTTACGTTTGCTTACTGAAGTAAAATTTACAAGTCGCGAGAATATTTCAAAATTTATCTTCACATTTTTAAATAAAAGAGAAAGTAAGAATTTATCAGGAAAATTTATTTCTTTCTAATCAGATCTGTCTCAATTTAAAATTAATTTTTTCAAATATTTCGGATGCGTACGACTTCTTTGCTCCTGGCGGTAGTAGCCGCGGCGAGATATTCTATTCGTTCTGACAGTAAGATTTCCATGAGAACGCCGCTGCGCATTAGCGTACTTCTTAGCATGGTACGGATGCCCCCTATCGTGGGATGCCGCGGTTACCTTCTCGTAAACCTCGCGAAGCGTGGCCGCGACGAGCGGACGAAGAAAAGAAGCGAGCGCGGGTAAAGGGCACGAAGTCACGAAGGGATACTTGTAGCACGCAAGCCCGTAATACCGCCGTTCGTCTCAGGTCAAATAACGACACACCGCCAACGAATCATCATCTATCCCGTCCGTCGCCAGCTCCGAGGCAGAGCGCAGCCGCCGATGCGTATCAGCGAGATCGACCGATCTCGTTACCTTACGTTCTTTGTTACGTCGAGGATCGTCAGGGAAATAGTCCCGAACGTTTTTCTCGTCAATAACGATCCATATACGTCGAAGGCGAGTAATTGCAAACAAAACGTATATAGTGCCATAAATTTAGCCGACAGACACGACGCGGATTTCTTTTCTTCCCTCGTTCTCACGTTTTCTCACTGTTTTGTAAAATTAATTATATAAACGAGACGTAACGAGAAGTTCCTGAAGCAATCAATAGCATAGATTTATTATCGCTGTCGAAGAGCAGTACGCTTGGACATGCGTCTCTCGGCGAGAACTTTATCTACTTATATATTCCATAAGTACATCTATCTATTACATGCATAATGCATAGAAAAAAAAAAAAAAAAAAAAAAAANNAAAATCTCTCCTTTTTAAATTCGCTTCGGCTCGTGATTCGAATCTTTATAATTAGAACGAGTTTCCCGGCGAAATATACAGAAAATAAGAATACGCGTTCAACATTAGGAAGCCTAATTAGCGAACATGTCCGATTGAGATTCCATCCGACTCTAATTTTCTCTCCTTCTCTCTTCTTCCAACTGTTCCCTCGAATATCATTAGTGTTGCGGGGAATGCAGTGTTGCGGCATCATGCAAACTATCGCGTACTGATAAGCGAGAAATGTTGAAGCAAATGTTCTCAGTTTTATAGTAGCGCAGCGAACCAAACGAACGTGCTCATAGTACACGACAGCGATCGACTTTGCATGACGCATCACTTCCATCCGTTTGTGTAGCGTAAACGTCTCTTCCGAGCCGACTCACGAACCACGCGGCATATATAACGTCGAAAGAGAACCAATCGACCTAAACAATAAGTAGAGAAATATTTCTCAAAAAGAAGTGTACGGAATTATAGTCGCAGAAATTGCAAGGATAAAGTACCAGTAAGCAATAATGCTAGCAATAATATTATAGCGCGGTCTAATAGTGTAAAAATTCTGATAAGCTACGGACGGAGAATATCGTAACTATATACGTGGTACACGTATCAGCGCGGCAGCGCGCGCAGTTTCTTGGTCTTGCAAGAAAACACCAACGACCAAAACTCGTTAAGTCGGATAAAACTTTGTAATTGTAGAATGAGTCAAGCCGCATGAATGTGCATTATTCGCTTTAAAAAGAATGCTTTGCAGTTTTAAATATATATGTATATATATATATACACACATATATGTTATAAAGAACGTCGTGTTGCCAAAACGCGTGCGATGAACGTCACAGATTTATTATTGACCGTAATTTAGTGAGTTGATTGATCAGCATAGCACGAACTACTAGTACGTTATTAACTCAACAAAAACAAATGAGTTAGCGCGCTGTCTCCCGATACCTTGAGTTCCTCTCAATTAACTCCTCTAACCGGCCGCGCGCGATCTACCACTTTCCCCGCATTCGTTCCGATATAAACGACTTCTTAGCGTCAATCTTTGCGCGTATTCCAGGGGGCGAACCACCGGGCACAAGAAGCATCGTCGCTTATTCGTGGGCCCGAAGATTGGCACTCGATTACAGGCCCACCAAGCATTGCGACGGTAATGGAACGAGCGGAATGGCATTAAACGCGCACGAGACGCTCGGCACGAAATGGCTCGAGACAATCCCGGGACGGCTCTTTCTGTACAGCGCCCATTTGGACCTCAGAGTCAACGGTTATCCGAGCATCAGAGTGATTGGCGTTAAACGAGAAGCCCTGCCACCTTCCGCGCTCTTCTGCACTATATGGTGAGGCCATTTTTCACGTCGCATACAAAGCTTGTCTCTTACTTTATCTCCGAACGAACGTTAAACATCAGAAAACGAGAATCACTGAAAGATGTGCTTAATTAATGCGCGCATTACAGTCGCATGTCTTCTCTTCGGAAATCACGATGATAAATCAGTGCGATTAATTATATTGCAATAACAATCTGTGATATAAATACATTTCTCTTCGCCGTGTATTCAGATGGAAAATATATTTCTTCGCTCTGTTCGCGGAACGCGCATCCTCTTCCAATTGGAAATGCTGAATTAAAAACGTTCTTATTGGTTTTAGGTACCAAGAGCATGAAGGAGGGACACGATCGTTGAGCGTAGAGGCGCTCGTCTCGACGATCTGGTTGGACGAATGGGGTGGTATTGCGGATAGTTACACCGGAATCCTCGTCAATTGCCAGCTGCCGTTAGACAACTCCGTTCGTCATTCTTACCGTGTTTACGTAGGTCTGAATTCTTGCTACGAGAATGCTAGTCATAGTTTAACTACTACTCGCACCGAAATCGACAACAAAACGTATTCCATCGCCGGCCGAAAGAAACGTCGGCAGTTCACCTTGTGCATCAAGGGACTGGATTTCGACGAGGACATATCGCATAAGCTGATAGCTTTCGTCGAGCTGCACCGTATTCTAGGCGCCAATCTGTTTTATTTTTACGTTTTCAACGTGCACGAGAACGTGTTGAAAGTGCTACGTCTGTACGAGCGATCGAACGTCGTGCGATGGTTCAGGCTCGATTTGCCGGGAGATCTGCCAAATGAGAAGACGGCTCGGAGACGATTCTTCAATGAGGATATCTGGACGAAGAGGCGAATGGAACTGATCCCGTATAATCACTGTTTTTATGAGAATCTTCAACGATCGGAATTCGTGGTACCGATCGACATTGACGAGGCGATCGTGCCGACACGTCGGAAAACCTGGTACGAGCTGCTGCTAGACGAGCGCGCTAAGCTCGGCAGGAGCTTCAAGGACTTCGCCTCTTATTCCGTGCGAAACGTTTACTTTTTCCCCGAGCTGCAGAACAAAAGCCAATCCGATTGGCTCGGATTGAACAAGGAGATCGATCGCTCGGCCGAGTATCCGGATTACTTGGACACCACGAGAACGGCCAGTATTTCGCCCGAGGGCGATTCCGTTAAGAGCTTTGTCTCCACGAGGCGCGCCCTAACGGTGCACAATCACTATGCCCTGACCACGCTGAATCCGTCTACCAGACGAGCTCATCATCTGGATTCGAACGATGTGCTTAAGCACCACCATCGGGCATGCGACAGCCGACATCTTGACTGCGATCTCCTGATGGAGAACGTTAGGATCGACGAGTCCGCTCTGCGTTACGCAGACGAGCTGAAGACAAGGATGCGAATCATCTTAGCCGATCTCAATGCCCTGCCATAAACTTTTAGCAATGTTGTAAATAACAAATAAGATTATAATATGTTTTCAAACGATATATGTGTGTCTTTTCTATTTATTTTTTCTTTGTACATTCATCCATTATCTAACCACCTTGTCCACGTCGTTTCCCTCGAAATGAAATAGGTCACCTAGAAAACGATAGCGCCAAGAAAGCAACGGTCCAAAACGAAATAATGGTGACATTTCTCGAGCGTAGCACTTAAAATAATTGCGGTCAGGTATACAATAATTGAAAAGAAAAACATGCGAAATGCCAAAAGCAAGCTCGGAGCTTTCAGTCTTGATGTCTTTAGAATTACTAGCCCCGTGAATAATTGGAAAATGTTTAAAGTAACAAAGACACGGTTCGCAGTCTTCCGAGATTGACGCTCGAGATCCGCAATAGTCGCGAGCGCAATAATTGAAAAACGTCTAAAAACAACGAAAGCAAATCCGTTGGCTTTTCAGAACTCGGAAAGCGCTTAACCCGCTTCCGAAGATTCGAACGTCTCTTTAACAACTAAAACACAAAACTTTTTATTTTTCGCATGGCCTCGACTCCGTCTGACACGTTTACCAAGTGAAACGAAACAAACGGCGCTGTTTATACGTGTTTATGAGCGAGAAATGTATAGGAAAGGTAACAGTTTCTCTCTCGCAAGTTAACGAGTACGTGCAAAGGAACGAACGACTTTATAAAGCGTTGCATCCATCATGCTTGGTATGTGCAAACGACAGTTTCAATCTCGCTGAAGTGTCGGTTCGGTGGTCATCCATTAGCTTTCAACATCTCGTTCTACACGCCAGGTCAAATACTTTGCACCTCAGAAACAGTCCCGAGAACATTTCTATCGCCGTCGTTATCGAATTGATTTCAGATATCAAGTTGAATTTTTCGTATGCCGGATCGACCGCAGTCGTCGAGAACATATTTTTCATGAATAAAATCATAAAAACGGCTTTTGCGCGCAAGCGTATCCGCGATCGAAGATAAATCACGTGGCGGCGGAAACAAACAAGGGTATGATTTTTTTTTTTTTTTTCAAACGCGCGATTCTCCCAGATAAGTTTTACGGCCAATATCAAGCGTATAACGCGAGCAACGCAATCGGGGTCATAACTAGATTTAATAGTTCACAAGAAAATTGTGTCGTATTCGCATTCCCCCGCAGAAGACGCAAAAGATAAAAGCGGAATGCAATTTCGTTCGAAAGTAAAGTAAGTAAGTTTCACTAGAATTATTGGCTCGCCATTTACGATGTGTCGCGGACACTCCTTTGGATGTCACTTCTTCCGATTCTTTAAACTGTCGCTCTACAAAACTTCGGAATGGAATAACCGAATTCGTGAACTTCCCAAAACGACAATCGTAAAAGGCGAGAGCACGTAAGAAAGTTTTCCGTAATATTCTCTAAGACCAATCTGTTCTCTCATACTCTCCTTAACGTCGGTCTTTAAAAGCAAGTTGCAAGCAAGTAAGAAATACACATGTATCAAGATTGTTCTATTTTTTATACAATAATATCTAGTACTCTAAGTGAGGGAGACAGATCAAGCTTGTGCTCATATCGCTGAAGCAGATCTCGGAAGACCACATCTGTGTATTTCTGATTGTTGTCCGCTGCAAAAATTAAAGTCGTCACACCGGTTGTCGATCTGTTCTTTTAATTGACTGGCGTTCTCGCTGATTTTTACATATTTATTTATTTTTTTTTCTGTCTTAAACACGAGAACTTACAATGATGGTTATAAAAAAACCCGTTAACCTTTTTATTAATATCGCACCAGTTTTTTACGCAAAAGTAAAATTTCTTTAACGGATCTAATACCTAAAATCTACATGACACAAAAAAAAGACACAATAATAGCGCATTTGAAGACACAATAATAAGCGTTGATTGTGTGTGAAATATGTTTGCAATCCAATTATCCAAGTGGTTCCACTCTATATTCGCGGTAAAATCCAATTGCATCACGCGGATTTTACGATCGGCGAAACATGTTGCGAAAGCGAAGCGTTCGGATATAAATGAGTTAACGTCGCCGCGACCGCGCACAATTTCGGGAATTAAAATCTCACTCGCGAAAAACGTCCGATCTATCATAAATCTCATTATATTCTTCAGTCTGTGTACGCGCGTCAGCGCGCGTATCTCTTTACTGATTTATACTCGCGGTGTTTGAGTTGCAACTTTTTTCACCAGGGGCTGACAAAGTAAACTCGCTCGTGTAACGCCCTTCTGAGAAGCTTCATTGAGCGGCCCCCGCGTTAATTCGATCGCGAAATATTTTCGCGCGACGCGACAACGACGACGACGACGGCGACGGCGACGAGCCCATGTGCTCCACTTTAATAAAGTATTCGCGAGAAGGTGAAATGTCCGTCTGATCGCACCACGTGATAAAATTCGCACTGGTGTCACTTACATTCTTCGCTCACTTGCGGACGCTGTTCGTTCGCGGCTACGACCGATCTCAAATTAATGTGACGATAAATCACGCGAACTTTAGAAGAGGGAGAGAAACACGCGCGTTCGTTGCATGCGTTCGTTCATCGCCCGACTAAATTTATCGGTATACTAAAGCACATCCGCATCTGTTTCTTACTTTCGTATCGCGACGACACCACGACGGAAGAGCTTCATCTCTTCTCCCCGCAATCTGTGCGTGTGGAATTCGCATATATCATCGATAATAATGTCTCCATCGGTTGGACGCACCTGCTTTCTCGACCGCGCAACACTTTCTCTCTCTCTCTCTCTCGCTTGAGAGTGGGCGCCAGCTCTTCGCGTTGTTATTCTCCAAGAAAATAGGAAAAAGTTGTGTTATTACAGATTCACGTCTCGTCCCGAACAAGAGCGTATATTATGCGCGCCGATATTCTTCTCGTCGATGATGACATCGCCGCGAGTAATCTTTCTAGCAAGCAAATTGTTACGACTCTTCTTCTCTTTTATCTCTCAAAAAAATCCAGTTGTTCTTTTCGCGAGATATCGTTTTTACTCCTTTTACGCCTGCGCAGTATATCCACATCCTATATTACCTGTTTCCTAGATGAGAAAAAAAGTTCACTTATCGTTCTTTCGTTATCTATAAGTTTTATCTTGTTGTCTGACTAACAGTATGCTTTTCTCAGATTATTGCTGGCGTGCTGATCGCACGTGATCGTTAAGATAGATCAGTTCTCGCGCGGTGAAGAACTAATGAGATACATACCTACGTACAATGGTGTCGCAGAGAAACGTTACTGTAGAAACAAGCTAACGTTGGCGACACAAACTGGGACGTTCAACGTCAAAACAACATGACACGAACTGTTTTGAAACAACGTCACAAACGACGCTAGAATATTATTCAGAAACATCTCTCTTGAAAAATTGTGAAATTTTATCGAAAAAAGTTTTTGATACCTTTAACTGTATAATAATAATAATATAAAATAAATAACACATAATACACATTATACATTTTTATACGAGGTTTTCAATTATTTAAAGAGTTTTACAAAAAGCTAAAGAAATGAGCATTTTATATATGTAAAATACGAGGTAAAATGAAACTATTGAGAATTCAGTAAAGATCAAGACCTAAATCTGCACACACACAGGAAGTGTTTGACTAAATTATGCGCGCGCGGTCATAAACTTAATAAAAGTCCGACCGACATATGAGCACGCGACGTGAGCGCTTACATTGCGTGGCGCAAAAAAAATCACGAAAATGTAGCTTTCGCGATTCGTCAGATATCTGCAAGCATGCGCCTGCCATGCAAGAGAGAGAGAGAGAGAGAGGGAAAGAGAAGGAGAGAGAACACAGAGAGAGGGTTGATCGCAAGTAAGCAGCACGTGCGTAGCAGTCATCCTGGCGCATTCGCCAGGACCGCTTGCATCTCGGAAGTTATCTTTCCATCATCGGATGTGTTGCAGATCATTATCTCGCGCGCAATAAACACTTGCAAGTCGACATTATTTCGCGCGACAACTTTTAATCAGCGGTCATAATAACATCGTTATATGTTTCGTCGCGAACATGAAATCCTTTTTAATTCACGCACAAGTTTTCCGTTTTAATTAAACCAACAAGATGATCTGCGATAAATTTGCGATGGTAGAAAAAAAAAAAAAAACAAATCAAAACTTTTATTTAATTAATCTCACTGATTTATATTATTCTGTTTTGAACGTATATTTTCTAGTGGACGATTTATAGTGAACGTCGTAAACGCCACATCGTGACACCTATAAACTAACTACATGTACGTTATTACATGTGTGCGCGTACTCTGCGCGTATACCGCACCGAAATTGGGGCTCGCTCGCGACCTATATTTAAGTATTTTCGACAAATTTCTCTCATCGAATGTAGTTTCTGTTACTTCTGTCTTTACACGGATTCCCAAGGCGAAATGGGTCGCCGAATCTTTATCGCCTTCAAAAAAAAGAGTTGCTCGTTCGCTGAAAGAGTTCGCAGAAAAGCATTTTACTGGACGCTACGCGGAACCGAATCAACTACGGATTTGGGAAAAACTTTTAACAAAGAATGACGATATATAAACGAGATAGGATGAGACACAGCAGTTCTTGGCCCGATCGGGCGGCGCAAACAGTGAAGATGCGCGTTGACTCCTTGTCTCGTGCCTTCACCATCATACCAACGAGTCGCGAAACAATATATCGATTGGAACAAACTGCACCACCGCGGTCCAATTTCCTGGAAGAAGTCGTTTTACTAGATCGATGCGTCTCCGGGGGAACCGTAACGATAAAACGAAGATTAATCGACGGAAGGCCACTTATAAGTAAGAAATTTGCAAACTTTACTGAAAATTCGATCGATACCGAGACAAAAAGTGTGAAAAGATCCATACGACGCTGTTTACCGCGTAGTCTTTCTTCGACGGAAACAACCGCGATTAATCAAAACGCGGTCATCGAAATGGAAAAGAACATATTCAAGGATCAATCAAGATGTAAATCGGATTCCCTCGTCTCGAAAACCGACACGGATTTCGTGAAGTCATCTCCGAAAAATCTACAGAAATATGCAAACGTAACA